ATGGAGCACAGACCCATCCATTACCTTTTAGCTGAGGTAATTAACATTTTTGTTCTGAACAAGGGTCATACCAGACTCAAAATGTTAACTCTTATTTTTCTGCATGGATGCTGCCAGGCCTGCTGATTTTCTCCAGCATTCATTGTATTTGTTTCAGATTTCCAGCATCCACAGAATTTTGCTTTTATTATTTTGCTATTAATTAACTTATAACTGTCTCAGCTATTAACTTGAATGGCTCTCATTCTTCCATGTTTTAGGAACAACTGTTCACATCTCCAAGGAAGCCACTGTCAATGAGTTTCTGTTTTGCCTTGAAAATGTTCATTGAATTTCCAGAGGTCTCGTATGACTCTTCTGACATATGTCCAATCTGGTGCCAATTGCCGTTAAATTGATAAGGGAAGTCATATGTCTTCTGGGAGCATTACGTAAGACATGTCCATTAAAGACAAATATATAACATTGCAACTACAAATTCATACAAATGGAAATGTGGGCATTCTGCACCTTTCACCTGTCAAGTGTATGTTCAAATGCATTATATATCATGGAATCCCTACAGTGTGGAAGCAGGCCATTTGGCCCATTGAGCCCACACATCCAAAAAGCATCCCACCCAGGTGCACCTCAACCCCGTAACCCTGCATTTCCCATGGCTAACCCCCTCTAGCCTGCACATCCCTGGACACTATGGGCAATTTAGCATGGCCAGTCCACCTAACCTGCAGGTCGTTCGACTGTGGGAGGAAACCAGAGCACCCAGAGGAAACCCAAACAGACACTGGGAGAATGTGCAATCTCCACACAGATAGTCACCCAAGGCTGGATTCAAACCTGGGTCCCTGGTTCTGTGAGGCGGCAGTGCTAACCACTGTGGCACCATGCCACCTTGTGCATTTGAGTACCCAATATTAGAATAGCAAAATTTTAAAAGCCTCTCTGCCTTAATTACTATACAGTATTAAGGTTTCCTAACATTTGTGTATCCAGGACAGTTTATGGAACTGTAAATGTGAAACTATAAATATCTTTAAATATTATGGGAATCTGTATTTCCAGTGTAGCAGGTACATAAATTGTAAATAGATTATGCATTGGGCGCTTCTACTTATCTTTACATTCCAATTTGTCTCTTACTAAGTCTCAACTCACAAATTATTAGAACAACATTAACCCACAATGTGATTTCCTTGGGGCTGCTCAATCATTTTGTCATGAAAACAGATTAATAAATGTAAATTAGGTTCACTAACATGATTCAATTAGCTTTTTCTGTATTTCTGTACAATATCAACCATTAACTGCATTCTGTTTAGCATGTGATGAGTATAAAAGGATTGTGTGTTTTTCGACCTGTATGTTGCATTATATCAGTAAATATATCCAGGAGTATTTCAATCACAGAACTGACTTGATTTTTTATTGCTGAAATTAAACTCTTTTTTTCTCTGAATGGAAAAACTTTTGGGTATCGATAGATACTCAAGATAGTATACACAGTTTATCACTAAATAGTGGCTTTAAATGTCAAATTTGCCTGAGCACATGACATGCTTTGATGTTTTGTCAAGACATTAGGTGGGACCTCTATTAGTGTTACGGAAAATACTGTGAATTTAAGTTTTGCTTTTCCCAAATAACGCTCATCCCTTGCTGAGATAGGTCAAAGAATGCTCTTAAAATACTGGTTTTCAAATTTTTAATTTTAATATTCACCCCACAAAAAATCATTTAAGATGAAATCAAAAATAAACTTTATGAACAAAACAAACAAATTACCAAGGGAAATGCTTCACTACACCACCCATACACACAAGTGCTCAGGAAATTACAGAAGACAGGAGAGGAGAGGAGATAAGTTATAAATGGCAAGCTTTGGTAAATCCAGTGATGTTAAGAAAACAGTTTGTGTAGTTTACAACTTTCCAGAGTTTAGTGCCCTGTTACAGTTTCCTTGGTCAGCTGGGTCCTGTAGTATTCCTTCTGGCAGGCAAAGGTGTAGGCATCTTTAATCAAGAAACTTGGAGGCAAAGATGAAAGGCCTAAGACATAGAGCCAACTCAGCCTGGAGTCCCACTTTCCCTCTGGAGGTCACATAGCAACTGATCTGGAATCCCGGAATTATATATTTAAGAAATTCAACCAGCTCTAATTTCAGTCATGTGGCGAGGACAGAATTTTGGGTGCAGGATGGCCCATCTCATTGGGCGGTCTTCCATTTTTGCAATGGCAGAGAGCTCTCAATAGCAGTCAAAATCTAAGCCGAATGTTATTTTGTTTCCTGTATTACTTAAAACATCACAAGCAGCTTTCCCTCTCCATACTATCCGAACTCTCACAATGAGTTACAGCATAAGTGACATTCAGACTATATTTATTGGCAAAGCATGCCATGACAATTTTCTTTGAATCAAATCAAATACAAAATAGTACTTTGTGCCTGGCATCTGACAAATTGACAACAAAACTCGTTGAGTTCCTGTAAAAAATGAACTTGACTATAGTCCTTCAGGAAATATGACCATTACACTCCCAACTCGCTCAATTTGGATATTGAAGAGGTTTACAGGAATTAAAGGGCAAGCCACTCACACTTGAATACCCAGCCTCTGACACAGCACATACAGCTGGTTCAGTTTGGATTGAGGATATTGAACTGAAACCAAACTGTAGCTTCCTGCATAGACAAAATGTAGTTGGTGGTTGCAACTACCCATTCTGATTAATGCTAACAGTGCAAAATCAATGGAGACAATAAGGACTGCAGATGCTGGAGGCCAGAGTCTATAGGTGAGAGGCTGGAAAAGCACAGCAGGTCAGACTACATCAGGGGAGTGAGAAAGTCAATGTTTTGGGCCGAAACCTTTCATCAGGACTTCATCAGTGCAAGATCAATTCCTCTTCTTGCTGAGGTAGGCTTGGGACCTCGATCCTTGCTTTTGCCACTGAGGCTTGGAAGATAGCAGCAAACCAGACCATGCCAGGATACCATCTTGAGGATGATGCATCAGAATGAGTAGGAACCCCAAAAGCTGCCTTGAAGGCAGAGCCCATCCTCTCCTCTAACCCAGTCTATTGCATCCAGTGCTCTTGATATAGTCTTCCCTATGTTGGTGAGACAAAACATAGACTAGATGACCATTTTGCCAAGTTTCTCATCTTTCCCTGGCCTGTAACAGCCAACCTAACCTCCAGGTCACCGCCCATTTCAACTCCCTGCCCCACTCGCCCTCCAGCATGCCTGTGCTCGGCCTGCTCCCGTGTCGCAGCGACTCGCAACGCAAATTTGAAGAACAACACCCTATCTTCCTCCTGGGTGCCCTACAGCCCGGAGGACTCAACATTTGAGTTCTCCAATTTCAAATAACCTTTGCAACGATCCCTGGGCTCCCTTTCCAGCTCCACCTGCTCCCTTCCATTCCACCTTATGACCCCTCCCATTCGGCCACCAACCCTATCATCGACTAACTTGGTCGTACCGAGTACCAGTGTACACCTATCACCACCATTCCGCCTCCACCCCCTCTTTTAACCTGCAGCCCCCCCCCCGACATCCAAGTCCTGAAGAAGGGTAATACCCAAATCATTGACAGCTCCTTTCCTCCAGATGCTGCCTGGTTTGCCATGCTCTTCCAGCCTCCTGTCTGTCTCCCCTGAGACCAGCACGTTTCAGCCCCTCTGACGTCACCGTCAGTCGGGGCGCCTCAGCCAATGGACTGCGTGTGGGCGGGGCCTGAGCCGAGCATTGCCGAACGTTGCCGAGCGGAGCCGATCGGGTATTAGCATGGAGGAGGCCGATGGCTACCTTGGTGTCCGTCTTGTACAGAGGGCTACAGGGCCAGGGCTCGTCGGTAAACAGGAGGCGGCGGCCTCGGCCTCGGAAGGTGACCGGAAGAGGGAGCAGGAGAAACTCTCCGGTGTAGTGAAGAATGTCCACAGGAAACTGCGCAAGAAATATCGAGAAGGTGATAATGAAGAGGAGGGAGAGGGGGGTGGGGTGGAGGAAGGGAGTGAGCCCACTCCCCTCTCCCGGCTGAAGAGTTTCGGGGGGGTTGAGCTGGTGAGTGGGTTATTTCCCCCCCGCTCACTGTACTGCTTCACTGGAGAGTACAACAACCGTAGCTCGACAGATCACCGATTTCTAATTTGGTTTACTGTCATTCGGTTATCTTTCAGTCTGTGTATTAATCCTCCTATTTGTGTTCTACAAACAAAAACAAGTGCTCGCCTTTACAGGGAGTGTTATACTGGACTCGACCTTTGTTTTTCCTCTCTGCAGAGGCTGCCAGGCATGCTAAGTTTCCCCAGCACTCCTTTTTATTTCACATTCTAGCGTCCGTAGTACTTTGCTTTTACACTTTCTTTTGTATTTTTTGAGGTGATCTTTTTTTTAATTTTGTGACCCTTAAGAGAGTAATGATTACCATTAGTTTGCTTGCCTGGTAAATATTTTTCCTGTGCATGTGGTGATGTAATTTTTTTATAAAGTGAGTAATGGGCATTCGCAAGTTATCGTTATATTTTACCCTCTCCATTTATTCTTACCGCATTTATAGAGAAATAAGCGGTGTGCTCCAGAAGTTTGAATTATTTTGATGTCTATGCCCGTTAGCTGAATCTGTCTTAAAACGCTGTGTGAATTTCTAACTCACTATATTCAGATTGCAAAACACCAACGACAGTGATTAATTTTGAACACTGCCTGAATCTACCATCTACCTGATGGTAATATGAATAGAATAGAATCCCTACAGTGTAGAAACAGGCCCTTCAGCCCAACAAGTTCACAGCAAACCTCAGAGCATCCCACCCAGACTCATCCCCCTAAAACCCACCTAATCTACACATCCCTATGGGCAATTTAGCATGGCCAATTCACCTAGCCTGCACATCTTTGGACTGTGGGAGGAAACTGGACCACCCGGAGGAAACCCACGCAGACACGGGGAGAATGTACAAACTCCACACAGACAGTTGCCCGAGGCTGGAATCGAACCCGGGTCCCTGGCACTGTGAGGCAGCAGTGCTAACCACTGAGCCACCATGCTGCCCTAATTTGGTTGTGTTATTTATGCTAGAGAGACCCAAAAAATTGTTATTATCTGATATCAGAATGGGAAAATATCATAAATATACTTCAGTTGTGAAATGCATTTGATGGTGGTATGCTACACAATACATGTTCTCAGGACTAATAGGAAAAGGTATATTGGTTCAGAAGTAGCAGTCGCCTCTTATCTCTGGGGTGGAGTACAAGTTGATATAAGCAGTATTGTGAAAGCTTTAAAATAGGAAGCATTTCTGGCTCCCAGGATCCCTACCTGGATGTTGTGTAGACCTAATGATACACAGGCTGGTAAAATTGTGGAGCTTGGATGCATCTGGATCTTTAAGAAGGTTAGCTGTACATTGAGCTATACTAGCTGTTTATAAAGAAAACACACGGTTGTGTAGACCAATTATGAAATAAAGTCATTAGATAAAAATTTGAAACACAGCATGGTAATTATATTTGTATTTATAAACATGAAACATTGCTGTAGTATATTGCTGTACTAGTATATGTTGAATTTGCTTTTTGAGAACAACAGTTGTTAAATCTAACCCAAATAATGGTTCTGTTGAAACACTTTGTATTTGTGAGAGGACTCGGCAAGTATTTTATGCAAAAACACTTCTTACATTGGAAATAGGCTATTTGGCCCCTTGTCATTTAATAAGAATGTAGCTGATCTGAATGTAAGCCTTAACTTCAACTTCCAGCCTGACCCTTTTTAAAACAAAATGTCTGATTCGGTCTTGAATATATTTAGGACAGCCTCCATTGCTGCCTAGATTAGTAAATTCCAAAGATTAATAATTCTCAAAGAAGAATTTCCTATTCGTCTCATTCTGAACCGGAGACTCCTTATTTTAAAAATGTGCCAATTGGTTCTAGATTGCTCATCAAAGGGAAACGTTCTCTCAGTATCTACCTTGTTAAGCTTGCTTGCAACTTTGTATGTTTCAATGGTATCACCTTTCAATCTTCTAAACTCCAATGAGTATGGACTTGAACTTCTCTGCCTTTCCTCATAAAACAATCTGTTCATCCTAGGGATCAGTACAGCAAACCTTCTCCCTTCTATGGAATAGTCTAATTGTGATCTCACCATAGCCCTATGCAACTGTAACAAAACTTCATAACTTTCATACTTCACCCCTTTGCAAAGTATGCACTATTCTATTTGCCTTCCTAATTCTTGCTGTACCGAATGCCAGTGTTTTATGTTTCATGTACGAGGATGCCCCAATCTCTCTGTACCACACTATTCTCTCTCTATTTAAGTAATATTCTCTTCCTTCCACTGTGGAAAAGCTCACATTGTGCGATACACGTGGTACTTTCATCCAAGTCAATAACAAGTTTGTAAGTACTTCAGGCTCCAGTATTGATCCCTGTCCCACACAAACTGTTACAGTTTGCCATCTGAAAATGATCTATTTATCCTCGCTCTCTGTTAATTTATCAACCTTGTAAATGTGTTAATATCTTGCCCCAAATTCCATGAACACTTAATTTATGTGGTAACCTTTTATGTGGCACCATATTTGACGCCTTTTGGAAGTCTAATACACTACATCTACTAGTTCCCCTTTATGCAACCTGCTTGTTCTATTTTGGTGTACATCAGTAATTTCTCAATGAATTGTTGCATGTTAAAGAGACAATTGGTTTGTTGAAAAATCATGTTGGCAGGTGTTGAATTGATAGTGGAATTAAAACAAGTAATCATAATTCCTAGCAGTTAAAGATGATAAATAAGATTTAACTGCACTGTATATTTTTGTGTTAAAGTTCATAGATCATACTTTCTTAGGTTGTTAATTAAATGCTTAGTCACAAAGATATGATTGAGTTTTATGAAGTGATGAATTGGGCTTCTTATGGTCTCTTTGTTCGATATCTAATTTGTGGGATGTTCTCTTTGTTCTTAACTCCATTGCGCATTTACTTTTGTGTGGTTGTCACCAACTCTTGCTACAATGAGAGGTGGAATTCAAGAATCTGCTCAAGATGTCAAGACAATTCCCTTGCTGAAAGGCAGATGCGCACACATTCAGTTGTTTGTCTATGTCAAAATGGTTTTGGTGTACATTACAGAAGGTAAATTTTATTGCTCATTTCTTGTGCACGTGCTATTTGGTAATTCCAGCATTCTAAACAGACACTGCATGTTCAGCACAAGGTCTTACTTAACTATTAAACATAGTGAATAGGTCAATTTGAGATTCTTTGTGATACTTGAAAAGGTGTAGCATTGAAGTCTTCCATTTGCAGTCTTAAGGTTTTCACATATTTGGTAATCCCATTTTGAGATCACTTTGAGCAACAAATCTGCAAACCTGCAATCTTAACATCGTCCAAATTTGAGGGGATCAGGAGGGTTGCTCAACAATAATCCAACAGCATGTTTTGTAGCACTGAATGATGGAAATAACTTACTTGGATTAGAACAACCAATTAATTTGACTGCATTTTTAGCTGTTGAATTTTGACTTGTTAGAAAGGGGAACAATGTTATTTTGACAATCATTGTTGTGGTGGAATTGACAGATACTTCATTGTAAAATTGAAGTCAGTTAAAAATGGAAAATTCCAACAGTGATGATTATGTTAATTATGCTGTAGTCATGTTTTGCAAGTGGTTCGGAATAGACAACTGACGTCTCTTTAGTCAGCTACTCTTTGATGAATAATTAGTTGTCTAGTCCATATATCTTCAAGGAACTGTATACTTGGAGCTAGAATGAAGGATTACAAAAAAACCGTGGAGGATATTTGTAATGTTGCTTTTTCAAAGGACAAGGTCTTTGTTTTTCCAAAGTGCCAGTCATTATTCAGTGGGAGCACCCTTCTCCTCTAATCAGATTGTAGATTCAAGACCTGCTCCAGAAACTTTTATGTAAAATCTAGATGGATACTCCGGTGCACTGCTTAAGAAATGCAATCTTTTAGATAAGGTATGAAATCAAAGTAGTTTTTACCTCTGAGATAGACGTGAAAGATTCCATGACATTATTTTGAAGATTAGTAGAGGGGTTTCCTCAGTGTTCTGAAAAATGTTTATCCTCAACCAGTAGCATGAATATAGATTATCAGATTATTATCCTATTGCTGTTTCGTTGGATACTTCTGCACTGCATTTAGTTGCCAAACTTTTGACATTACAAGAAAATCTTTTTAGGCAGTCCCTTGGGATAACAACATAAGAAATAGAAGCAAGAGTAGACCATTCTGCACAGCAAGCTTGCCCGACCATTCAGTCAGCTCCTCGTAGCCCTCATCTGCCCAATTATTTCAAAAATCTATCTGCCTTCTCTTTTAAACATTTTCAGCGAACTAGCCTCCTCAGTTCCCTGTGAGTAGACAATGCTAGAATTCGCTACTTCTGCCTTACCCTAGAAGATCCCTTTGATTCAGTGCTGGATTTAAACTACCGTGAGGGACCGTGTGGACTGATTTGTTTTTCCCCAATGTTAGTGGTGATGCATGTGTTTTACCACTAACTGCAAAGGATGGTCCCATTGTGAATTTCCTGATGTATGCATCTTTGTCAGTAGTATTTAGCATTTGTCCCACTAATATCAACCTAACTGGTATATGGTTCCAATTTTTTTCCTCACTTTCTTTACTTACCCATCATTTTTGCCTTCTAATGGGAACGTTCTAGAATATGGGAAATTCTGGAAGATCAAAACACATGGATGTGCTCTTTTGAAACCCTGAAGCGTAGGCTGTGAGATCCTATGGGTAGTCTGACATTTGGTCCTGTTAATTTCTAAAGAACTTTAATATTAGTTATTTATAATTTTCTCAGTTTCATCAGACCCTTGTTTCTCCATAACCTTCAGTATGTTCATTGTAACGCATTTTCTTTAATAACTCTACTGTTTCCTCATTCATCATTATAATTTCTCCAGT